TACAAATACTTTTACAGATTAAATTACAGATCATATCATTTAAAACTCATTGCTTGTCTATGTCAAATACAACTTAAATACCTTTTAAACTCAATAGATGGCGCTACAATATACTGTTTATGTTTTTCAACTTACCGTATTTCTCGGAATATAAGACGCACCCTTATATTGAAGACAAAGTTTTGGGGGAAAACAGCTACAGTCGCATTTGAAAGATTTTTATTGAACAAAAATTCAGTTTGATACTTTAAAAATTAGTATATATTGTTCTAAACACAAAAGAGCTCAAAACATCAAAATAAGAAAATATCGTAAATCAAAAAAGGTTTACTATTATTTAGTTTGGTTCAAAACCTACAAAATCTTCATTACTTTCACTGTAATTTATGTTTTTATTATTTAGGGAGCATTATAAATAGTTATGTTTTTAAAAGGAAAAAAACTACTATTGTTATAAATAACACATTCAATTGAACTAAACTATACATGCCTATTTAAATATATTTACACATGGCTTGTGTATATCGTATGTATACATATATATTAGTCATACCTTTAGTGTATAGGACGCAAGCAGATTTTGACATCAAATTTGGAGGTAAAAAAGTGCGTCTTATACACCGAAAAATACAGTATATCAGATGGTAAAAAGTATGAGACAACTATAGTTATTTCTTAAGTGTCTTACTTTGTATTTACATTGCTAAAAAGTCAAAAACTAACAGACAAGTATGAAATTATTCTAGTCTTTGATCTTACCTACAAGAAAATGTATGCACCAGTGTTTCGTACCTTCCTATACTGTTTCAGAAAATCGTAGTCATTATACACTTTATACGAAGAAGTATGTATACATACTGTGTTTTTATAACGTATTTGGTATTTTCAGGCATGGACTTCTCACTACTGGATTGGAAGTGGTATGCCCAAAGAAAAGATCATGATTGGCATTCCTACTTATGCACGTACTTACATTCTAGCCGATCCACATACTCATGATCTTGATTCGTTTGCTAAAGGTCCTGGTCGAGGCCAAGGAAAGATCAATTACGGTGAGGTAGGTTAAAAAAAAAGGTCGAGTTTAACTTTTTTTATTATATATAGGGCATTAACAGTCAATGAGTATTAGTTTTTATAAATACATAGGTAGGTATCCCCAAAAAAAATCCAATAAAATTGTTCACTCATATGTGATACGTTGCCGTGAAAGAGTGTGTATGGTATTCTGGTACACTGATGACAGAAAGACAAGTTTAAAGTATCCGTAAAACGCAGATTCAGGAAATATACTGCAGAAAATAAATTCGAATTCGATCTGTGACTCGTAGATTGATTATACTGGATGCTGGGGTGGAAAGCTCTGAAAATGTCTGCACAGGACAAAAACAAGAAGAATGCTTATTTACCGCCGAAATTCAGAAAATACGTTAAAGTGAAGTATAGCAGAATAAAACGCTGCGTACGTCACCGACTATTCCAAATAACATCTCTAAGGAAGAAAACCCCTAACCCATACCAATTTGTTCAAGACTCTGCGCCACCCACTGAGATGCGCTTGCCACTCTCTAGAAGAGGAGGAGTAGACAGACACAAGGCCAAAATGGTACGAGTTTCTAGCCATTGACATATTTCAATATTGAGTAAAAGAGTCAATACGTATTTACGACCTTTCAGCATTTGGTTAACAAGAATGTCATAATAAATGCAGAACACCAGCACGAAAATTTAGAAAACAATATGCCTGAATACAGCAGACTAAAGATATGTTCCAAAGTAGTAGTAGAAATATTAAATTATTAAACGTTTCACTCATTACACGTCTTTTTAGTTATCACTAAAAGAGCCGACTTGTTCACATTCCATTCTCTACCAGTAGAGTTCGCATATTGTATCATATCGAATAATGTTATGTTTTAGACTGTCACAACACTCAGTGTAAACAACTGGCCAAAAAAAAAAAAACTGGGTGAAATCACTCATTTTCTCCATAGAATACATAGGAGACCCAGCAGTAATTAGTGCGTAGATCCATTTACAATGCTGATGGTATTTTTGTTCACTTTTTGTGACTAATTTTTCATTAGTGATCCTGAAACCCTCAAAGTCATGGACCCACAAGCAACTTGATACATAAATAGTTTATGAAAATTATTGTTCTACTATGAAATAGTAATAACATTATATTAAACTGATCTAAATATTATGAATATATTAAAAATATATCATAAAACAGATATGATAAAATTGAATTTATAAAGAAAAATTAATGACAATAGAGCTAGCAAGACAGCTCAACTCAGTATAGTTTTAACTTAACAGGATTTAGAAGAAAATTCCATGTTCAATATGGCAGAAGACACACTGAAAGTCTTTAGCTTCCTAAATTCCCACCAACATAATTATATTTAAGAAACAAAAAACGATGAAACACTAGCGCTTTTAACAACTCCACTTGTCGAAAGTACTAGGGTTTCATCGCTTTTACTTTTTTGTGTGTGATTTACCAACATTTTTGATCCCATGGGTTTTTACTATCGTGAACCCTCAAAAGTTAGTTGAAAAAGAATTTTTTCGAACGTGACTATTTTACATTTTATTTGTTTATCACAAAGCTACATACTATTTTAAGAGAGAACTAAGATAAAAGTATTTGGAGTTGTAAGTTAGCTTACCGATTTTTCTTTACAACCAGTTTTTAAACAAATTTTCGTCACTATTAGAAACATGTTAAGAAAAGTAACATGAGGTGGGACAACAAGAAAAATTCACAATGTTAATACCAAAATAATTTTAATATACCTTAGTGATCGCAAACGAGGAAAAACATACCTGGTGTAAAAAAAAAAAGAGACAGAGTACAGAAAATAAACGCAGAAATTCTGTGTCAAACAATGACGAAAAAGAAATGTTCTAAAAATTTCGAGCACTGTAACACAAGGAATCGGAGTAAAGAACAAGGAAATATTGTTCGTTCATGGAGGATCTCGGAAAGGTCAAGGACTTAAGACACGGGTTGTGCGTTACAAATACTCAAATAAACTAGTAAGTCAATACAGTAATGTGACATTCAGTCTTTAAAACAAGGTACCATATATTAGTTTATCCAAATTCATTATAGTTCGTTTGTATGTTTGTATTAGAATTTCGCGTAAAGCTACGTAAGGGGTACCTCCGCCTAAACATCCCTAATTTTTTACTCTCACACTAGAGAGAAGGCTTTTGTTGTTGTTGTTTTTAATTTCGCGCAAAGTTACTCGAGGGCTATCCTCGTAAGCCGCCCTTAATTTGGCAATAATAGAAGGAAGGCAGCAAGTCAACAACACCCCCTTCAACTCTTGGGCTACTCTTTCACCAACACAAAGTAGGATTGACCCTCACACATTATAACGCCCTCGTGGCTAAAAGGGCGAGCATTCGATGATGGAGATTCTGACTCGTTTTATTTAGTTCTATTGAATATTTTATAGTTCATTTTGATATCTTTTTGTAAGTGTGAAGGTTGGGAGTTTAATTAGTAGAAATATTAGGGTGGCTCCATTTCAATTCGTTTCTACTTTAAGAAATTTAAGGGTAACTGCATTCCCACAACTGGCTATAGACTGTGAAAAAGCAGTAGAAGCTGAGACGTTGTGGGTATAAGAACTCAGCTTCGTACCCTTATTTAATTGATTTTTTTTCCTGATTTTTCATGACGGCTGACTAGATAGATTGACATCGGCGTTTGGATCTTGTCAGATAGATGGGATATCCCCAACGCATTTGGGTCCTATAACCACAGACATTATCCGTTATGACAATAAGTTGACAACCAGGACCGATAACGGTTTTGTAGTGCTGATTTAATCGCCTATTAACAATTAATGTATTCATTAGTATGTAAGCTGTTTATTTGTGTGTGTGTGTGTATATATATAGACGTATAGGTGGAGCAAGTGATTAAAGCATCGTTACAGTGTGATCCATACAGAAAACAGTCTACCTAAGATAGTTTCACAAGCCAAGGAGGGGGAAGCGTAAAAGTATAAAAAAGATGGTAGAAACACATTGAAGCGTCTTTTTATTTAATACCACCATAAATCTCACACAACACATTGTACAAATGCTTAATTTCCATCGACAGATATGTCTGGTGATAGGTGAGGGATCTGAATAATTTAACTGGGCATGCATATAAATATAATATTGAGTTTGTTTGTTTTTTTACCTTTAAGTTTGAAGTACATTTTCGTGAATGTCAAACATTGTTGTTTTTTTGTTAATCCATAAGATAAAAACGACTAGTGGACTTAAATGAATTTTGGCACGCAATACTATAGGATTTTCAAAGTTTGTTCGTGGCACCGCTTGATATAAATGTTATTCGAAGTTTAGACCTCTGATCAAAACTGATTCACTTACTACCCAAACACATTGAGTTACTACCTTTCCCGTTAACTATCAGAAATAGTAAATCTATTTGTGGTATTTGAAACTGATTTGGATGGAAGTGTGAAGTATTGTGATGTAGAGTATATAAGTTCATCAGGATCACTCTGAAGTGTGGCTATAGGTGTAATTCTATAAACTCATTAAAATCGCTGCGCATGATGTCTGTTAGAAGTCCTGTAGACTAAGATTTGGACCAGAATATGGGAAATGTGTTCATATTCTTTCGTATTTTTCATAAACAACTGGAATATCTTTTACAAAATATTAAAAAATAAGCATAAATTAAACCATTTCTCAGCAAAGAAAAAAAAACAACCACATAAACAGCGTTTTCTGAGCACACAAAAAATGAAGTTATTGCAGATACTCGTTAAGTACTGCACAAATAAATCAATACATGAAAATTTCGTTGTAAGCAAACACGATACACTTCTTTAGACTTTGACTGTGGCAAAGATACCTGGACCGAATTGTTGAATTTGTTTCAGAATTTTCGCAAAAAGCTACACAAAAGACTACCTGCGCACAGTCATCCCTAATTTTGAATATATAGACCAGATGGAAGGCAGCTAGTCAACAGCACCCATCTCTAACTCTTGGGCAACTCTGCGACAAGGGGCTGTGAACCTTGAACCCTCGAATTTACAGTACGAGCACGCTAGCAATTAGGACATGGTCGATCTAAACTGTTTGTTTTAACTCAAAGATATAAAATGGACTATCAGCGCTGGTTCCTCCACGTGAATCGAACCCAGAATTGTTACGTTTTATGTAGTGAAGCTTACCGCTGAGTCACCGGGAGACTCGGTAAATGCAATTTCTAACATTCCCCAGGCGAGTGACTTTTCAACTGATTCTGAGTGAGGCTATGACATTAAAAATTCTGTTTGATTTTTATTGTAAGGCTGTTTCTGATATGTCAACTTTTAAAGAGCAATTCGATGTTCTTATTAGTTTCGATACAAAGTTTAGTGGCAAAAAGTTGAAATGTTTCCTAAAATTTCCCTAGTGTTTAGTAATTCATTGCTGTTATTAATTATTTTAGGAGCCATAATAAATTTGCCATTAGAACCACTTTGATTGTTACTTAAAATGCATGGTTATTTACAGCAGGTACTCGTTAGTACACTGGCTAACAAACGTAAAAAATTGGCTCACAGAACCTTTTACAAAGTTCGGCACTCTGAGAGTAGGTACTCTTGTTAATATAAAATAAAACAACATAGGAAACATTTTAACTTCATTGACGGATGAAAAGGCAAAAAAATTGGAAGAACATTTTGGATGTGCTAAAGAAATTTTGCAAGTCTTATAACAATTGCTTTTGCCAAAGTTATTTTCATTTTTCATATGGGACAGTAACTTTCTTTTGGATTATTCTTTTAATTTTTTTGGAAAAGGTTTAAAAATAATAATGTACAATTGAAATATTGAGCATTGCTTATTTTTGTCTTACAGTAAATATTTTTTAGTTTGATGTTTGTTTTGTTTTTTTAATTTCGCGCGAAGCTACACAAGAGCTATCTGCGCTAGCCATCCCTAATTTAGCAGTGAGGGAAGGTAGCTAGTCATCACCACCCACCGCCAACTCTTGGGCTACTCTTTTACCATCTAATAGTGAGATTGACCGTCACATTATAACGTCCCACGGCTGAAAGGGCGAGCATGTTTGGTGGGACGGGGATTCGGACCCGCGACCCTCAGATTGCGAGTCTAGCGTAGTTTGATGAGTTGGAAATGGACGTAGTTTTTGATAAGGATTTGTAGTAAAAGTCATTATTCCAACTACAACCAGATTTTATTGATTGATATTGGCACATAGACAATAGTCTGGTAACAAGCTAAATTATTTTTTACTTTGAAAAAGTAATTTACTTCCAACTATAATGGGAAACTAATAAAATCTCGTTTTGACGGTTTATTAATATTCTAGTCGTTATAAGATAGTCTGTTCACGACACTCTATGTGTATGTGCAACTTTGATGGAAAAATATGTAACATAAAGGAGGTAATATGGTGTAGCAAACAAAATGACATTGTTCCTTTTAACGGCTCGGCATGGCCAGGTGGTTAGGGAATTCGACTTGCAATCTTCGGGTCGCGGGTTCGAATCCCCGTCCTGCCAAACATGCTCACCCTTTCAGCAATGAGGGCGTTATAATGTGACGGTCAATCCTGCTATTCGTTGGTAAAAGAGAAGACCAAGAGTTGGCGGTGGGTGGTGATGACTAGCTGCCTTCCCTCTAGTCTTACAGTACTAAATTAGGGACGGCTAGCGCAGATAGCCCTCGTGTAGCTTTGCACGGAATTCAAAACAAACAAACAATCCTTTTAACGAAAATAATCTGTAACATAAATGAAGTAATGCCGTGTAGCAACCAATATGATGTTGTTCTTTTTGACGAAGATAATCTGTAACATAAGTTACCTGGTAATGTCGTGTAGCAACATTTTTCCTTGAAGTATATATATTTTTTTCCTTTATCCTTTAAACTACTCTGGGATGTTCCAGTATACTCTCTCTTTTGTATCACTTGCAGGAAATGATATATGATCTTTTATGGATTTCTTTGTCTGCATTATCGAGTGTCGCAAGTGATGTGACTATCTTAATTTTCCAACAGTTTGTTTGTTTGTAATTAGCACAAAGCTACACAATGGGCTATCTGTGCTCTGCCCACTACGGGTATCGAAACCTGGATTCTAGCGTTTTAAGCCTGCAGAGTTACCGCTGTGCCTTTGGGGGGCTTTTCCAACAGAAAGTCTTTTCATTTTGTCGTAACTGAAATAGCTACTAATTTCACTCTTCCAGAATTAGTATAGAATCAGTGGCAGTCGAAGGAGTATGAGACCTAGGCAGCCGCCTAGAGCGACATATTGCGGGGGGCGCGGCAAACTGAAAGCCAGCAGAAGGGGAACAGTGGGCAGGAAGAAGGAACAGTGGTGAGAAAGGCTTAGGCATGGAATGACATAAACCGTCTCCCTTTGCAGGAATTAAAAACCTTTAGAAAACAGCTTAGAAGCTTTAATGGATTTTTTTGAATAGTAAATGCAACATTTTAAACCGCTCAAATGCCGACAGTTTTGACATATAAGTAGGATTGTCTTGAAACAAAACTAAAGAAAATAATATGCGTGTGTAATGTGGGGGCAGTATTTTAAAATTTTGCCTATATCTAAGAGCCATCTTTGACTGGCCTTGTATAGAATGTATATTTATTCAGGCATATTCAGATGAATTATCTACATTTCCATTCAGTTCTGCAAATAGTCATGACGTAAACAGGATGTAGAGAGGTTTTAAACTGTGTGTTAATCCTTTTACAAATAAATGTTACATGTTATCACATACGCGTTTCTGTATGAATTTCTAGGAAGTTCGCCTAGACAATCAGGTATTATGCAGGGGAGGATTAACACACGGGCCCATGTGACCTGTATGTTTAATAATGGCTGGAGACGGCTTAAATGGGTAATGAAGAAAAACTTTAATACAAGTTTAACATG